TTATATTATTACATTTTATCACTTTATTTTGCATTTTATATCAAAACGCAGCTATTTTAATAAAAAAACTACGTAAATAATTTTGGCACAAAAAACTGTTCTTATTAGTATTATTATTATTGCATTAATAGCCTTAATGTTTTAACTTATTTTAAAAATATATTAAAGTTCCGTTAATTAGAATTGCTTGAAACAGAACTTGTTTAAGAAAATGCGTTTTTTTGTGTTTAATTTTATAAAATTGGCTACTCCATAGGATTAAAATTTGTCAATTAGATCTTGAAGACTAGAAACTGTCAGACTTAGCAAGATTACTTTGTATTCTGAAACTGTTTCATTTAGGATGTTTTCAGTATGAATTTTATATATATCAGACGCTAGAAAAGAACCTTGCCGCACTCCTTGTGTATTATTACATTTGTTCGAGATAAGACCTTGATATATTCACAGTATCGGATAGATAAAGCGGTATAATTGTGTGTACAACAAACAAATGTTTGTTTGGTTTCTGGAACAGATTTTAAAGAAATTAAAACTGTTATATATATATATATATATATATATATATATATATATATATATATATATATATATATATATATATATATATATATATATATATATATATATATATATATATATATATATATATATATATATATATATATATATATATATATATATATATATATATATATATATATATATATATATATATATTAAAAACTATTAAAAATTTGAATTAAAAAAATATTCATATAGCCAAGATAATATATTTTTTGCATTATTGCAATTGTGACTAACTTTTTTTATTCGTTTTCTATATTATTCGCAACTTCCTCGTTCAACTATAATCTTCCCCGCTTTGCGCAACCTTGGCAACTATTTTTTGCGTTTTGAAGCCATTCCTTCACAACGTCTTCTACTTCAGCAGCTGTAGTTTTTTTTGTCAACGGATTAAGTCGACCTGCATCTAATGAAACAAAAAAAAATTTAAAATTATATATGATTTTCATTAAGTGCTTTGTTAAGTTTAACAAGTATAGTTTTTCGCCATAACTATCAAAAATTAATTAAACACGCAATCAATATAAAACAGTCATTGCAATATAAAACATTTTATCAATATAAAACAGTCATTTTATTTAAAATTTTAATACATCTAGACACTAGCGTAGGATGGTCTATAAAGTTTTGGAGTCTGAAACAGAAATTAAAGCATCATGCATATTTTTAAATTTATACAAAATGGTATAAAAAATTATGCATTTGGCATAAAAAAATTATGCATTAGGCATTTCTTGAAATTGCATAAAAAATGTAAAAATTGTAGGTTTCATAATTGCCATTGACAATTTTTCTTATCATAAGGACTGAAAAGGCATGTTTTCCCCATGTTCCATTAAATTAAGTTCACTAGCTAAAACATTAGTTATCAAAGCTGTTAATACTCTCCTTGTCATATCTTTAATGTTGACACCACCAATGAGACCAAGATATTTAACCTAAATAAATAAATTTACTTTAGGATAAAAACAGATTTTAAAGAAATTAAAACTGTTATTGAAATATAATATAGCAAAAACAATATATATATATATATATATATATATATATATATATATATATATATATATATATATATATATATATATATATATATATATATATATATATATATATATATATATATATATATATATATATATATATATATATATATATATATATATATATACATATATGTATGTATATACATATATAAATAACACTAATTTGACTAATTGCTTATAATTATTTTTCGTTAAAACTTGGCAAGTTCATAGAAAATGCATGAAGTAAATTATTTTAATAGTAAAAAAAACGGACACTACATTTTTTCATCTACAAATCCAAGTGACAACACAAACCAAACTTTCATGCAAAACTCTCAGCAAAATAGTCCATAAAAGAGTATGGTAGCAATACACAATAGTTAAATAAAAATCAAGCCTAACCTTTCTTCTTTTCAAAAGATGTCAAGGTTTATATATGTTTCTGAAAAAAACCACCTCAAAATACTGTTTGCCAACGGGCTACCTGAAAAAGTAGTATACTTGGTATAGCACTAAATAAACTAATTGTTTGTTATTATTTTTCATTGAAATTTGGCATGTGCAAAGAAAATGCATGAAACAATTTAAATAATAAAAATTTAAATAAAAAAAAACGTACTATTTATTTCTTTAACCACAAATTCATAAGAGAACATCAATCTAATATTCAGGAGCAAAATATCCTATAAAAGAGTTAGAAACTATACTTAGAAGTCTTCAAAAAATCAAGATTAACTTTGGAGTTTTTAGAAAGAAACTCCAAAAAACTACGTCTGTAAAATAATTTGTATAAAAAACATTTCAAGAAATTTACGATTTGTTTGTATTGACTATTTTAACTAAAATAAATGTTTTGTCCACTTCTTCGCGTGATACCAACTGTTTCGTTTCTCGTAAAACAACTTCTTCGCGTGAAACAAACTGTTTCAATGATATCAAATCACTTCTTATCGTGATGCAAACTGTTTCAATATATTTATATTTTTATCACTAACTTTCATAACAAACAGTTTGTTTTCAAAAGTACGCGATATTTAAGTAAAATACCATAGCGTCGTTAAAAAAGAAAAAGACCTATAAAATTATAAATAACTGATTTGTAAAGCAAATGATTTGTAAATGATTTTTAACAAATGCAAGCAAAATTACTGAGCGTGGTTCACTTCCATATCTGATATTTACAATGCTTAAACTTAATTAGAATAAAAACAACGCCAAAAAAAAAAAAAAAGAAGATGCAGAAATAGCTGAACTTAGTGAGAAAGTAAAAAGACAAGAAGAAAACAAGGCAAATTTACCACCTTCTAGTTCACCTGCTGTTTGTTACAGTCAAATTGCTAAGCAACTAGCCAAACCAAGTTCTGAGCTGTATAATGCTAGCATCAAAGTGTCAAAAAGTGATGAAATATTATCCAGTAAAAAGTCTAAAAATGTTGTAATTGTTGGTTTGCCTAACTCACAAAAAAACATAATCAAGGATCGCAAGACAGATGACGAGAACATGGTCAACGAACTAATACGTTCGCTGAACAGACAAATAATAATAAAATCAACATTCAGATTAAAATCTAAAGTTCCCTTGGTAAACAATGCATCTGAACCGTTAGTTGCCGAATTTGAGAATGAAGTAGCACGAAACGAGATGCTGGCTGCGGCAAGGGAACTGTCAACTATTGAGGCCTACAAAAAAGTATATATACGGCCTGACCGCACTCCTGATGAGCAGACTGAATTTGAACAATTAAATAAAGAGAGAAAGGAGGCGAACGAGAACTTGCAACGCAATAATAACCTAGACCAGCCCTTTCGATTTGTCATTAGAAGCGGAAAATTACTGTGCATCGACGTCACTACAACAAAAGACATTGGCAACCGCAAAGTTCACCCATTTGTCAAAGAGAGCGTTGCCAAGCAGGCCCGGAGGGGATCATATCAGCCAATCTTATAAATCTTATCAAAACCTGAGTAATGTAAAACTTCTTGTTTGTTTAAAGCAAAATACTAGTACTAACTATAAATCAATTAAATTTTATTATACTTAAGCTACCTCCTGTAACTCTAATAAATTATCTGAGCTGTCCACACTTGCTTTTACATATCAAATTGATGTTGTTGCAATTGCAGAAACTTGGTTTAAATTGGATTCGATTAAAATAATTGATGGCTATGAACTGTATCAGGCAGATAGAGATATCAGATGTATCAGGCAGATAGAATATGAGGAGGTGTTGCTATTTATGTAAATAAAATACTTACAAATATAGAAATTGTAAACGTGCATCTCAACAACAAGGAGATCGAACA